AGAAGAAATAGTAATCCTCTCTGAAGAAAGAGTATTTCATTAGGATCCTTAAATTATCTCTATAATTTTTGTGTCTACAGAGACATACGTGGTAAATACACTAAGACATTTACCAGGTATGTCAGAAAACAGGAGCAAATAATGGAAAACCAAGAGAAAAAAAACAACCAGACAACAGAAAAGAGATCTACAGGAATTCCAGATACTGGAATTATTAGAAAAGACTTCTTTGTGTATGGAGCTGAATAATTGGCCCTCAAAGATGTCCATGTCCTAATACCCCAAACCTATGAATATGTTATCTTACATAAAGGGACTTTGGCAGATGTGATTAGGATAAGGATCTAGAGATAGGGAGATCATCCTTGATTAACTGGGTAGGTTCACTATAATTACAAGGGTCCTTATAAGAGGAAGTCAGGAAAGTCAGGGTCAGTAGCAGATTTGATGACAAAAGCAAGAGGTTGGAATAATGCATGGAAGCTGAAAAAAGGCAGGGAAATGGATTCTTCCCTCAGAATCTCCAGGAGGAACCAGGCCTGCTGATACTTGATTCTATCCCAGTGAGATTCATCTTGGACTTCTGACCTCCAAAACTGTAAAATAATAAATTTATGCTTGAATTTCCTGAGTTTGTGACAATTTGTTACAGCAGTTATATGAAACTAATGCATAGGCTAATAGGGGAGACAATGATATCAAACACACAATTTCAAATACTATGGAAGCACAGGTTTGAAGCTCTCAATCAAATCTGGGGTTCAAGGAATCAGAAATGATGATAACTTACATGATCCCACAATCTTTGATTACCCATGAATACAGGAATCTGAGGAGGCTAATGGCAGATTCTGGACTAATCAGAGACTGAAACAAAACTTTACTGTATCCCTAATTAACAAGTTTGATTTAATGGACATACTACTCTGCATTCAATACTTAAAGAGCATATATTTTTTTTCAAGTTTGCATGCACTTTCTCATTTCACCACTTATTAGGCTATAAATTAGGATATATATAAATGAAGTCTCAAAAGTTTTGAAAGAATGTATACCATACAGACCATCATCTCTGACCACATCAAGTAATATATCAATTTAAAAAGATACATTGAAAATCTCCATTCATTTGGAAATTTTAAAACATTTAAGAGCATACATAAAAATAATTACTGAATCAAAGAAGAAATTATAATGAACATTAAAAATATCCAAATGGCAGTAGACTAGAAAGCTCTAGGAAACATCTCCAGGATGATAAAATTATTAGTACCTGATGCATCTGAATGTTTGGAGAGGAAATTTAGACAATTAGTGAAGATTTTTGGTTTGAAATGGTGAAAACAAAACTAATGAAATGACATTAAAAAAAAAACAACAAAAATAATTTCTCCAGGAAACACAAAAAAGCTTTGCACTGGAAAACAAATCATAGTATACTACATGACTTGATCATAAGTTGAACTAAGAGAATCATAACATTGAATATTGAAATACTAAAATTATTATAAAAGCATATTGGGAAAAGGGAGGGATGGCAGAGATATGGATGGTGTGGGGAAGGCAGATAGTTACATCCTCATCTTCCATAACTGGAAGGCAATATTTCTAAAAGCCCAAAATTAAAGAAGTAATATAATTGTGCTGTTGAAAGAAATGCAAGTATATTTTAAAATAATCAACTGAAAGAGATGGGAGTGGTTGCCCTTGGGGAAGGGATAATGGGGAAGAGGTGGGTGAGAGCTTGCTATTTTTCATAACAAACCTTGTATAACTGTATGATCCTAAACCAGGGCTTGGCAAATCTTTTCTGCAAAGGGCTACAGAGTAAATATTTTAGGCTTTGCAGGCCATATGATCTTTGTTGCAACTACTTATTTATGCCATTAGAATGTAAAAGCAGTCATAGATGATACATAACCACATGGATGTAGCTATGTTCCAATAAAGCTTTATTGTGGAAGTTAAAACTTGAATTTCATTTAATTTTCATGTGTCAAGAAATACCATTCTTTTTTTTTTTCAAGCCATTTAAAAAGATAAAAATCATTTTTAGTGTGTGAGCTGTATAAAAATAGACTGGATTTGGACTGGGCAGTAGTTTGCTGATCATTGCTGTAAACAATGTACATTTATGACTATTAAGATAAACAAATAAAACCCCAATACCTCTTGCAAAACTAAGACTAGAAGGAGACTTTATTTTTATCTTGACAAAGTGTACATTTGAAAAACTGTAGCAAACATCTTTCTTTTCATGGTCAAAACTTGTATGCACTTTCTTGAAAGGATCAAGAACAAGACAAAGATGTCTGCTATCATTATTTCTACTTAGCATTGTACAAGGTTCTAGAGAGGTCTAGGAAGACTCAAGAGAGGTATCTATTCTCACCAAATTGATTTGGTGCAATCCCAAAATTCTAACTGGATTCCTCACAGAACTCCACAAACTGATTTAAAATTTTTTTTGGAAAAGCAAAGGGTCAAAAACAAAAATACTCCTGAGGAAGAACCAGGTATGGGGGCTTGCCTTTCTAGATACCAACATTTAAAGTGAGGTATGACCTGATCAGATACACATTTTGAGAAGCTTCATTCAGAGGACAGTGTGGACAAAGGAAAGAGGATCTGTCACTGGTCTATACTATTGCCCAAGTGAGAGACTACTTTGTAAAGAAATACATGAATGAACATATTAGGAATCTTTCTGACAGGTACACACAGGACTCTGTGACAAGTTACTAAGTGAAATATTTTTAGTGAGTTATTACCAGGGATTTTCTATTGTAGGAAAAATACTTTTAATGTATATTAAGAAACATGTTCACCAAGACATTAGCTGTATAATATATATATATATATATAATATTTTGGTAGGGAATAAACTGGTACTTATATTGTGGGTATAAGTGTTAAAGGCAAAGATTCCTAGGTGCCTTCTGTGGACAGCCGTTTTAAGTTCTTTGAAGCTCTCAAAATAGCACAGTATTCCTATAAAAAAATTTCCCTTTATATGCAAGCTTGCCCTTCAGACAATACTGTTAAGAATGAACAAAAGTAGAAAGGATATTTAATTCCTCAGAATAACTTGCCTTCTGTAGACTAGGCCTGTAATAAATTTGCTGTAATAACTTTCAGATAGCACATTTCAGTTTATAGTGAATGTGTTTTATATTTAGTATCTAACTTGTAATTCTTTAATAAAACTTGAAATTCTAGGCCATTGAATTTGATTTAAAGGTATCTTAAGCTCAAGAAAGGTAATCCCAAGATTCCTTGTAAAAATAAGGATATAATGATTCAAAATAGCGAACACTTCTATAGCATGTGTTTGGTACCATTTTGTGCCCTTTTATATGCATAAGCCAAATTAGTCTTTATAACTATCCTATGATGTGTTTACTACTATTACTCCCATTTTACAAATGAGGAAATTGAGGCAGAAGTTCAATTACTTGGGCCAAATCACATGGCTAGTAAGTGGCAGAGCTATGATTTGGACCTAAACAATTTGTCTGTAGAAACTGTACTTTTAATTATTAATGTCACTGCCTCTTGCCAGTTATCTATTAACTTTAATAGGTTAGTGAATTTTCAGATTCAAACTGCTCTTACCTGTAACTTCAATGTATCACAATGAACTATTGGTAGATTAATTACAGCAATTAATGTAAATATGAAGAATGCAGTAAAGTTGAACTCACGATCACACACACAGTAAGGGAAAAAAGTTTGCTAGCCATTAGGCCCTGATGTTACCTGTTGTTTTCAAACTGTTGGTTCCCTCCCCTCCCCTTTTAAAATGGTCACTAAGACTGCAAGCACCACAGAGGTGGGGTCCATCCTTATTGTCTGTTTTTTCATGATAATCTCTGCGTCTAGCATGGTGCCTGGTACTTAGTGGCTACTCAAATATTTGCCCTAATGCTCTTCAAGAGACCTTTCACCTGCTATGATTCAGTTAATTATTTTTGTTTTTTTTAAGATTATGGAAGTAAGACCTTAAATTCTCATTGTTAAAGATTAAAAACACAGATAAGTAGATACAACAAAACTTGAAAATCCACTTTCTGATCACCAACACGACATTCTTTTCCAGATGATTATGGTCCTGTTTAATATGCTTTCTATGCATTACAGGCACAAATGTAGACTTGTTTATATAAAAAAGTAAAGGTAACCACAAACACACAGTACTCTGCAATTACCTCCTGTCAGTTTCTCATGCCTCTACAAATCTATTTCATTTCTTTTAACTGCTTTGTATTAATTCATAGTATGAATGTATTAAGTTTATGTAGTTATTCCCTATTGATGGATATTATGATTGTTTCTCATTAGTATTTATTAAAGATCATGCAGCAATGAACACTGCTGTGCAAATATCTATATCCATGTAGAATTACTGGGTGACATACATCCCTATTCGCGGAAAAGCAGTTAGCATGTAGGAGCGATTTAGAACACACTTCAACAGCGCTTCTCCCACCCTGCATTTTTAAGAGGAGGTGGTGGAGAGCCTGTGAATGCAAACTAATCAGAGTAATAAAATGCCTCACTAGAGGGTTTCTAAACTCCTATCGTACCGCAGTTTTTCTCATGAACAATCCGCATAGGACTTGCAGGAGAGCAGCAGGGGCACCTGTGGTGGGGACAGTGAGGGCGTTGGAAATACATGCTTCTTGGATGCAGCGTCTGGACGAAGTCCTCGAGGACCACGCCTTCTTGCCTAACTCGACCCCATCAATTTTGTTTTTAGGCGAGATTGAGTATTAAAAATGGCCTGGAGACGGCAGGGCAAAACTTAAGGTATTGATGTGGTCTGAGAAGTGAAGTGAATGGCTGTGAAGCCCAAGTAGGAACCGAAGGACACCTCGAGGTCCGCGGCCCCTACTGCCGCCGCCTCCGCGGAGGACTCGCTTTCCCATCGGCCCCCACGGCGCGCGGGGGTGCCACCCGGCCGGCCCCCGCGGTGGGGGCGGGGCCGGAAGTCACGTGAGGTGACAGCGGCAGGGGTGAGGCCGCCGTCGCCTGCCGGGCTGGTTGATGCTGTGACTGGGGAGGCGCCAGGGTGATGGCGGTGGAGACTCTGTCCCCGGACTGGGAGTTCGACCGCGTCGACGACGGCTCACAGAGTAAGGGAGCAGCCAGGGTGGACGCTCCCCGGCCCGCCTCAGCCCTGGCGGCGCTGCTGCGCGAGGGCTCTGCGTCGCGGTGGCCGCGCAGCCGTCGGCTTCGGGACACTTTCCGCCCCTCGGGGTGTGAGAGGGGCGCGCTCTCGAGTGCCTCTGTAGGGGCCCGGGGTCCCAGCAGGGGCGGGTCAGGCTGGCCTGGTCGGGGCTCGGCGTCCGGGGAGGTGACTCCCCGGTGCTGCCCGCGGTGCCCCGGGGGGAGCCTCGCCCGCTCCGCAGCCCGGGGACACGGTTGGGGCGCCCCGGGGAGGCGGCTGGCCCTGCTTCCCTCCTCGGGGCTTTCGCCAGATCCTGAGCGTTCAGGTCTAGAGGAGGCTGAGGTCTGGGTTCCTGTTTCGGTTTCCTGTTTTTCTGCTTTTCCTCCTAACCAACTTCTGGAAGTTTGAGTGTTTTTTCCTTCATATTCTGAAAACCGTAAAAGATAAAGGAGAAAAATCGCTCATCACATGGTAAAAAAATTAACAAGTGAATGTCAGTTTATCCCCTTTAGTGACTTTTATTTACAGTAAGTGGTATTTTTTCATTGTATCTAGAAAGGTTTCAAGAGTTAGAGCAAATCTGCTTCAAGTTTTACTTCGTGAAATCGAATTGTCTCATTTCATTTAGAAGTCCAACCAAAAAAAGCAACAAATTCAGCTCCACGCAGCAAAATTTAGAGGCCAAACTATTGTACTGAAGAGTAATACAGGTTGGCAATCTGTTTTTGGTTAGTAATCTGTGTAAGAGGTATTGGGGCACACTGCTTGGGAATTTGTTTTTTAATGCAGTTTTTGCAAAAGATGAATGCAGTTTTTAAAAATTACATACGAATTTTGCTTAAATTTACAAGGACTTGTGTACAAACTTAGAATGTAATTAAGTTTTGTTAGCCTTTCAAAGAAGCATGAGCTTAATTTAGGATGGTTTGCAGTTTTTCACAAAACGTTCCAGAAGTTATTGGCTTTTATGCTGCATTAAACAATCTTGGTGGTAATGACAAAATCTTTTAACTTTTTTGTGGAGAGGATTCTGTTTGCTGTTATAAAGTGGAGTGCACTTTGTCATGCATGAAGTTTTATGGACAGAAGTCCCCTACTGCAGTATCTTAAAAATTGTAATGAAAATATGTTACTGGCTTTGAAATGGTCATTTTAGAGTAGAATGACCTGATTGACTTAACAGATGTATTCTACATACCAGGAACTGTGCTAAGTATTAGGGATACAAACATAAAACAAGGAATGCAGCCTCTGGGAAGACATAAGCATGTAAGTAGGGTTTTTGAACTTTACTCTTAAGAATCACTGTGGAGTTCTTATTTCAAATCTTTTTATTGTAACTTTTACCAATTTTTCATACCATTATCTTATCAGCAAGAACTTTACTGTTATCACAGGTTTTGTTGTCTATAACTTTGTGAATTCCCAGACTAAGTGAGTAATTTATTGACATGTTTTTCTAACATTGTCATTAAGAACTCGTTTGTTAAGGGCAGCTTTGGTTATTTCCCATGTAGTAGAACTGGACATGAACTTGGAAGATTACAAGAATCTTAGCAAAGTTTTAAAATTTAAGCTTTAAGACAGAGAAGACTTCTCATCTCTTCTCTGTGCCTGGTTTTCATTAATTTTTGGACTATGAATCTTATCTAGACTGTTTTCTAAAATTTTCTAGATTAATGCTCTACTGAGATGGGAACCTTAATGTACTAAATTAGCCCATTTGATTCACAGCATTAGTTGCAAAATAAGGGAGATTAGGGAGCTAGGTCTTTATCTTAATGAGTCAGAATATAGAATTGCTTTGTATTGCTAATTTGAGAACATTTTATATATTTTTAGAAGATATAAATTGAATAATGTTATTTACATCAATAAAAGAAACTGAGTTGGACCTGAATTTGCTGCCTTTGGGATTGGTAATGAATTGTTATATATAAGATGGAATAGTTACTTTAATTAATTTTGATGAATAGGCATAACTTTATCATCCAGTTTATACCAGTGACTCCTTAGAATTACCTGTAAATGTGTAAACTCTAAATATCAGCACATTATTCTGTACTCAGTGTTCTTTACTGGCTTTTCCAACTCTATTATTATAATTAAAAAATTAAAACATTTGGTAAATTTTGGGTAGTACAGAAATATTCATTATGATGAGTCAGGTTTAAAGCCATTTTAAAAACAATATTTAGGTATATTTTTGAAGAATAGTTTACTGTTTAGAATTAATTACTGTATAAAATTAAGAATTAAGTTATTAAAGTTTACTTTTCCGACAAAGATTTTTGTACCTGATTCAGGTCATGAATTTTTTTTTTTACAAAAGTTGTTTATGACTAAAATACAGAATCAGGACATCGAGTTGTCTAAGGCATTTCTCAGATTGCTAAAAGCCCTAATTGTGGGGTAAATGGGACAGTAACTTTTCACAGTACTTTAAAGATAGTAAGGATCTCTGTATACGGTAACATGTACTACTAAAAGTAGTTTCATCTGTTTGGAAAGATTGAAAGCTGAATTATTGTTTACCTTTGAAACTTTATTTTCAAGAATTCCAGACATTCCAAAGTAATACATTTACCAATGTTTAGTACATACTTTGTTCTGACTTTGAGATTATTTCAAGTAAATGTCCTGTTAAGTCATTACTTGTCTACTCACAAACTTTTAAAATTTAAATTTAGAAATTCATGCTGAAGTCCAACTTAAGAATTATGGGAAATTTCTTGAAGAATATACATCTCAGTTGAGAAGAATTGAGGACGCACTGGATGATTCAATTGGAGATGTTTGGGATTTCAATCTTGATCCGATAGCATTAAAGGTTTGGTTTGGTTTTATTTTTTGTTTATTTGCAGAACATACTGTATCTTGCAACATAGTTTCTAAAAATGGAGTGATTTTTGATCGCCACACCATGCAGATGTTTTTGTTGTTTTTTTAAGAATGACCCAGACTCAAAGCTGTTAGTGTCAAAGAATGACAGGCTCTAACTCTTTGACATAGTCTTTGTTTCATCATTAAAATATGAAGAGGGTTGAAATAGAATATTTAGGCTTTGTTTCTTATTAAGGCTATTTTACATATAGTGTAATACATAGGTATACTGTTAGTCAATTTTTCCAGACACATATACACATGTAGTGTACATCCTGATCAAGGTACAGAAAATTTCCATCATTTCTCAAAAATTCCTTTATGCTATTTAGGTGAGCTTCATTTGTGGGTAATTTAATGTATAAAATAGTCACTCCTGATCTGTTCCATTTTGAGATAGTTCTATTTTGTTTTTATATTTGAATCTGTAGCCTGTTACTATTTAAGTAATAAAGTTTATTGAGCATTTATTATGTACTAGCTAGACACTGTCCTAACTCATTTAATGACCATTTTGAATAATTCACATATATAATTCTTTAGTTTTTAATGTGTTCACATAATTGTGCATCCATCATCAGCCTCAATTTTAGAAAACTTTGCTACCCCAAAAGGAAATCCTGTATCCATGATTAGTAACTCCTCAACTGGTGTGGTGCCAGTACTGAGTACAGGGTCTCACACAAGTTTTAAATAGACAAAAGTTGGACTCAATTTATATATTTAAAATTTCAATTTTTTCAAATTAAAAAGAACTGTTCTTTTCCCTTGCTTCTATAGCTTTTACCTTATGAACAGTCTTCACTTTTGGAACTCATAAAGACTGAAAACAAGGTACAGATTCCTAAGCCTAAAAATCTATTTTTAAAATGCTTTAGCTGTCTGCTGTAATTTACTTTTTTTCTTTTATGTTTTTACTCATGAAACTAGGTCTTAAACAAAGTCATCACTGTTTATGCTGCACTTTGTTGTGAAATCAAGAAATTAAAATATGAGGTAATTATATGTATTCTTATACATTATAAACATGATTTAAAAGCAAATATGTGTTTATATTTGTACAGTGTGCATATTATTGAATTCTGAATGAATTATCTAATTATAGTAATAGTAATAGTGACTACCATTCACTGAATGCTTACTATATACCAAAAACTGTGCTAACCCTGCTAATACTTATAACAACCCAGGAAGGTATTTGAGGAATAGATGAGGAAACTGAGGCTTAAAGAAGGTGTCACTTGCCTAACACTTTACTGATGGAAATGGTTTGCGTCTGGGTTTGCACACTTTGAAAGTCTGGGTTACCTGCCATATATACTGGCTTTTTAGATAGAACTGATTTTTAAAACTGCTTTGAATTTTTAGTATGTATTATATTTCCTTGCCCATGAGCCATTAAAACTCTGGTAGAAGTTGTTAAATTTTATCTTTTTTGCTCTACCTTTTGATACTGTTTTGTTGCTTTCTATCTCTCATGAACTAATGGAAGATGTGGGACAGTTAGAGTGGTCAGATAAATCACAGTAAAGGCTGAAGAAATCAAGAAGTAATGAGTATCAGTATGTTTGGTACTGCAAAGATGAATTTACCTGTATTGTAAGCAGTTTTTGAATTTAAGGGAATCTGTATCTGATACAGTCCTCTGCTAATTAAATGTGGATAAACTAAGAGAACCAAAATGGCAACCTTTAAAATTGTTTTAATGTTTTTTTTTTAAACAGGCTGAAATTAAATTTTATAATGGTCTCTTGTTTTATGGAGAAGGAGGTAAGTGTTAAAAGTTTCACATTGTAATGTCATGATGACTTTTGAGATTGAAATGAATGAAGTTGACAATTCTAGGACTACCATGTTATAATGTCATAGTGTGGGAAAATAAGCATACAGTTTTTTTTATTGGTTTGCTTGGAAAACAGGTGAAAAAAACCTGAGTGATGAAGCAGCAGCAAATTCTCTAAAGTCTATTTGTGATATTTTTATAAATTACAAAGCACTGTAGCTACATGAGGAGTTTCTTTGAATTCATTAAATAAGTGAAGCAGATGGTTTCTTTTAATTGTGATTAATGCATGTCTCATTTTTTTCTTTAGTGTTAAAATTCTGCTTTCAATGCTATGCAGATTAGAAGATGTACTAATGAATAAAAATCATATTTATATTTTTCTTTTTTGGTGTTGAGTTTACATTAAAAAATTGAAATAGAATTCTTCATGATGTCTTTCAAAGCTACAGATTCCAGCATGGTGGAAGGTGAATGCCAAATTCAAATGGGGAGATTTATTTCATTCTTACAGGTGACTGATTTTTACTTTTTATTGAGGCTTTCTTTGGAAAGTTTGAGTAAATTACACATAATTGAAGAACAGTTCTGAAACCTTCAAATGCTAAGAATATAAGGATACTGAGAATATGTATTGTGAGGGTGGGACAGTTAGTTGGCATTGGATTATAGTTAAGGAACTCATGATTCTGATTTTCTTAGCATGTTTTGGGAAATAAGGTATCAAAATAAGGTTTTTTAAAATAATTTAATTTATGGACAATTTGTCACCATGTCTTTTAAAATAATTTAAACTATCACATAGGAAAAGATAATTTATGTCAGAAAAAGTTGTTATTGGAGATTAAGCTGTTACATGAGCAGTGGTGAGGTTTTAAGAGCAGCAGCACTTGATGCTTCTAACCGAATCTTTCAATTTAGATAATGCTTTTGTCACTGAAAAGTTTTAGCTATTCTAGGTCTTTTGGTTTAATTTTATCAAAAGAATGAAATAACGTCTATTTCTCTCTGTTATATAAGCAATGCTTGTGCAATATGACAAAAGCAAAAATTAGAGACGAAAAAATGCTTATAATCCCACCTACGTACTGATTGTTGTGTACAAGGTTTGATATATTTCATTGCATCAAGCATGCTCATATATTGTTCAAATCTTTTATATCTTTACTACTTTTTATTGTCTTCTTGAGCTGATTGAGAACATTTTTTCAAAATTATCCTCTAAGATGGTAAAAGTCAGGGTCAAGTCTGGAAACAAATCACACAAGGTATTTCAGAAGGGGAGATTTAATATAGAGAATTGGTTACATTAAAGTTGGACGGCTCGAAGGAAAAAGACAGTGAGGTAGTCCAGAGGAAGCAGATACCACCTCTGCATCTAGGAGAAAAATGGGAAGAGATTGGGGTTCCTAGAATCTGGGGGCTTCGGAGAGGAGCCCCATAGAATTCATGCTCATACCTCCGAGGAAACAGCACTGCCTGGCTGGCTGGCCCTTCTGAGAGGCCACTGTGAGTTCGGTTCTGTAGTGCTGAAAGAAGCTGGAGTCTGGAGCAAACTGCCATTGCTGGGATGAACTACTCCTGCCTGGGTTGTGTTGATAAAAACATCAAGAAATAGAAGGATGTCCTTTTCCTGCCTTCTAGTTTATTTTTAGTGTCACCTTTTGGCAGAACCTAACAGGAAGCTTGCTGGGCAGGAGTCTATGAAATGTTAACCTGCAGGGTCCCAGTGAATGTGTCAATTTCTCTCTCTAGTTTTTGCTAACTATCGCATTTTTTATTTTAAGAGTAGTTTATTTGGTGCACACAAGGTTAGAATTATAAATCCTTCCTGATAAATTGAATCCTTTTTCAATACATGGTGATCCTCCTAAGTTATAATTATAAATATGCATATAATGTGTAATCACATAAATACATAGTAGTTAACTATGGTAATACTAATAAAGTCTGTTTTGTCTGATACTAATAACACTGCCCCAGTTTTTTTCAGTTCACATTTTCTGGATTTATCTTTTTTTATTCTTTCATCCTTTCAGTGTTGTCATGTTTTAGTTGTGTTTCTTTAAAACTATAAGTCTGGGTTTTGCTTCTTTGTGTAATCTGAAAATCTGTCTTTTAATTGGTTAATTCTATTTGTATCTTATATAAATAGTTTGTTATATAATTGGACTTGTGTTTGCCTTTTTACTTTGTGCTTTCTATTTGTTCTGCATTTCATTCTTTGCTTTCATTAAACTTTTAGAAGTTGAGAAATGTAAAACTAGAGCAGGATCTCACTGACAGCTGCATAAAATTCTATTTTTTAAACATTCAAATGTTTTATGAGCCTAGCATGTTAGAAACTGTTCTTGGTGCTGGGGATAGAGCAGTGCACAAAACCAACAGAAATTCCTGCCCTCGTAGAGCTTAAAATTTAGAAAAGCTATAGATTGAATCATGTTTTAAATACTTTAGAATACAGACTGTTTCCAGAGGTTTAAAAACTGAGTTTCTGAGAAATTTTCAGAAGGTGTGGGACATGGTAGATGCAAGTTGATTATTTATTGACAAACATTCCCAGGGTAATTAACCTCTCACTTGCTGTGTGCCAAGACTGTTTATAGATAGGGTTAAACATTTGAAGTTATTTCAGAGTGACTTCTGGAGACCCCATCCCCTTCATTATCATACTTCCTAAACTGGCAGCTTTTAAGCTTCATTCATTTGGATGTTCATTCATTTACTCATTTAATAGGACAGAAATGTATTAAAAAGCAGTTGAAGGTTAGCCACCATGTTGGGCAGTGGGCATTCAAAGAAGGAATAAGATAGTCTTCATCATTTAGGAATTAAATGAGTAACTTTTGACTTAAAATATTAAGTAGGAATGAAATATATGGGGCAAAGAGGTAGAAAAGACCTTGGAATGCAGGTGGTGAGTTAATTCATTGCTGGAAGGGTACTTGAAGTTATCTGGCTGCAGATTAAAGTGGAGATACTGGAAAACTACTTTGTTTTTGTTTAGCATTGTTACCATAAAGTTCAGTCAGAAATGGTGGCATTTAAAAAGCAACTTTGTAACATATACTCAACTTGTCATTTCAGGAACTGTCTTGTTTTGTTACGAGGTGCTATGAAGTGGTGATGAATGTAGTCCATCAGTTGGCTGCCCTCTATATCAGTAACAAGTAATGGATTTTAGAAATATTTTTGCATTTATAATAGAGATACAGGAAATGTGTTTCTAAAAATAGCTAATTACCTGAAAGTTTTTCATTTGTTCACTTATTCCTTCATTCACTTCATTCTTTGACACCCACGTTTCAAGCACTACTTGATGTGTGTAATACATAGATTAATAAGGCACAGTATCTATCATGATGAATGAATGCATTATCTGTCTGAATGAGAAGGCTGACAGAATAATTTTAAAGAAATTTGACTATATAGAAAAAGGCTAACATAGAATTGGTACATGGACCAAGTTCTCTCTCCTCCTTTCCTCTCTCCTTTACTTTAAAAAGTTTCCCTGGCTCTTTAGAATCACATAAGACTTTTCTTAAACCACAGAATCTTGGAGAGTGGGGCTAGGGAATCTACCCTGAGAGAATTTTGTGAGTAATACTGGTTATCTTTTAAGTTTGGGGACCATTAACCTAAATAAAGAAAAATCAAATTTTCAGAGTCTTTACTATTCCTCTTACCATCAAGTAGTATCTTGCATTTGGCTAATACATTACACTTAAATTTTTTCTCACCTACTATTTAATTATAACCTTATGATAACTTTGTTTAGGTATATGACTAGGGATTCTAAGTTATGACAAGAGGTAACTTAGGCCCAGAGGATTTATTTGCCAAGATTCCGTATTAGGTACTGGTCACCAGTCCATTCATTGTTGTTCTAACTGTACCATGCTGCATCTTAACTCTTTATAAACTGGAAGGCTTTCTTAACTGTTTCTCATTCTTATGTTTTTCCCCTCAGTCAGGTATTTATTTTATGTTCTGTCCTTTCACTGAATCTCTCCTCATGGCTAAAGGGAATGAGAGCATAGCTCTCCCAACCCCTGACAGTACCTGGTGTGTAATTCAAAGAGAGCTGCTCACCACCACACCCCTGCTCAATAAAGATGAAATTCGTTTGAATTTTGTGTTCTTTTTAAAAATAATCTATCTTGTAGAGTATATGTGCTTTGATACACAAGTACTGTCTTAAATTATTTACTGCTGAGTAAATTGAATCTGTAGGAAGTAAAATTGAATTATCCTGGGGTTTTGGCTTTTGTACAATCCTAGTTGTGTGCATTGTTTTTCAGTAGGGATGAGAACTCAGAAATAAACCTGACTGAGGACTAGTTTCCAAATGCTGGACTGGATAGGAGAGCAAAGATTCTAATTGAGGACTGGGAAATTCTCATAGTTTAGAAAGAAATGAATATCACTTTTGTTATTTCTCTACCTCCATGCCAAGCTAGATCCTTTAGGTTTATATGTCTAAGGTTGTTCATGGGTCACATGTTGCTGTATCTCTACCAGCTGAGTTGGGTATAGGCAAGGGTAGCCCAGACTGTATGTATAGGTTGGTTCCCTTCTTGGGAAAGTTGAATATGGTAGTAATTCCCTGGATCTTGTAAGTTTTAGTGACTAAAGCCTATATAAAGATAACTTTTTAATAAAAATTCCAAGAGATTCTGCTGCTATGTTTTTCTTAAAAATGAACTGTGACAGAGTTTTTTTTAACCTGGGTGTTTTTTATTACAGGATTGCACCCAAAATTATAGAGACAACTGGAGTTCATTTTCAGGTAAAAGTAATTTAACCTGTAAACCTAATTTTTATTGTATTTTACCTTGGAGTTTGTATGAGTGGGGAGTACAACAAAACTCCTGAGTGATTTTTTTTTTCATTTGTCATCTGTCCCTGTCATCTGTGCAGTTGATGAGACATTACTGACCCACTATTAGTATGACTCATAGTTTTTCCCAGTAGTGGCCCAGTGCAGGTTCTTCATGTCATCTGTATCGCAATATCACAATTAAGGATGAAATAATGGGCAAAGTATTTGTCTGTGTAAAGCTAATTGTTCCATCTGAGGATTAACAGTTTCATCTGAAGCTTAATAAACTGAATTCACTGAATTGTTTTAAGTAATTCAGTAGTCAGCCCAAATAGTTTAACATTAAAACTCCACCTGAAGCCTAACTTCTAACTAGTGATTAAATGATAATCATTAAAGATTTTTTGACAGACTATGTATGAGCACTTGGGAGAGCTGCTGACAGTTTTGCTTACTCTGGATGAAATTATTGATAATCATGTCACACTGAAAGACAACTGGACTATGTACAAAAGGTGAGCCAGTTAAAGTATTTAAAATACTCACTTTGAGATAATATATTGGTATAAAGTAAATAAATATAAATAGTGCAGATCCTTGAAAAGATCCAGAGTTCTATATTTAGAAGGATCCCATGTCAAATGTGTTTTTGAGACAGTAACTATTCTTTAATTTCATATAGGTTTGTTTGAGACTATAATATACTTACATAAAGTATCCTAATTCCTTTTTTTTTATTAAGGTATCTTTGATACATAATCTTAGGAAGGTTTCACATGAGCAACATTGTGGTTACTACATTCACCCATATTATCAAGTTCCCCTCATCTACCCCATTGCAGTCACTGTCCATCAGTGTAGTAAGGAAAGCATCCTAATTCTTAAAGTGTAGTTGAATGTGAATTTAACTACCTTAGGACTCAGATTTTTTTGTCATTTTTTCAAGTGATAGGCATTTTTCCTAAGCTTGGTTTTATTTCTTTGTATGTTTGAAAACTTCTTTCAGTCAAGGCATTTTATTTTATTCACTTTGTAAGTGTTCATTGAATGTATAGTATCTAGAGAGCACCAGGTGTCTGAATTTAAGATGATAAACATAAAGGTATGATTAGAAAGTCAAATTATATTATGATTGTTTCTGTTCAAAATTTCGAATGTATAG